ATCTCTTAACAAGGACAGCAGCTAGAAGGATACGCAGATACAAATGTTGTAGTAGAGAGATAAGGGTCACTGGTAACCTTTCAGAGTTCAACTTCTCACATCCTAAAATGGCCCAATTAGATCACAGCAACAAGTAATTACCAATATAGAGTGATATACTAAAATCCCAATCATAATTGGATAACCCAGCATGAATTAACCAATAGTATACCAGGGGGAGGGAGTATGTGGCACCATGTTAAAGCAACAAAGAAATATATAAAAGGCAATTTGCTTGTATTAGAGTCAGAGTGTCATTGACTTTCTTCTGATCTGAACCAAAGGTTAAGGGGACAATTGAGCTGTCACGTCGAGGCCAGATTCTGGATGGTCTTTGGCGTTTCCCTGCATTATACCGGTAAATTGCTTGGATAAACTACCATGTGCCTGAACTCTACTGTCTCCTGAAATTTATTGCCTCCGAGAGGTCACTCCTACATTGGCCTAGTCAGTGACACCCTGACCCAAAGAATGAATTTAAAAGAAATCAGATGGCCTCAGTTTCACACAATCCCTATTACTACCATCCCACCGCTGGTGTGAGGGATCAGGGTGGCTCCGTCGATGGTGGTGTTTTACCTGCTCTCCCACCTTCAACACTGCTGATGGCAGAGTGTACAATCCAGCCCTTCCTCTTTCTCTCTCTCTCTCTATAGAACAGTCTGACCTTTTGTAGTGTCTCCAGCATTCTCAGTTTCTCTGGAATATGTAGTCAGATATTTCATCTGTCAACGTACCTTTGTGCCTTGTGGCCCATTAGGGCCTGGTAAACCAATGTCTCCTGGGAACCCCTAGAAAAGAAAGAAAAATAGTGACCACAATATAACGTTAAAATCAATCAATAACATCATTCATTTTCACATCTTCACTGAAAGTCTCACCAGAATGATAAATTTCAGTTAATTTAAGAGGACAGATTGTACAGCCTAGTTTTGTTTTCCCTTGAGCTTAGAGAATTAAGCTGTGATATAACAACGTTGCTTAAGCTGATTAAAAACCTCAAAGGTTTGACAGAGAGAATCTATTTTCTCTGGGGAGTGGGGGAGAGTCCAGAACAGGGGGGGCAGAACCTTCAGATCTAAGCCAGGCCATTCAGGGGGATGTCAGAAAATACTTTGCTACACGGGGATGGGGATGTGTAACTGTCTCTGCCAAAAAGGGGGAGGTGATGGCCTAGTGGTATTATCACTGGACTGTTAATCCAGAGACCCGGCCAATGTTCTGGGGACTCTGGTTCGAATCCTGCCATGGCAGATGGTGGAATTTGACTTCAATAAATATCTGGAAATAAGAGTCTAATGATGACTGTGAATCCATTGCTGATTGTCAGGGGAAAAACCCATCTGGTTCACTAATGCCCCTTAGGGAAGGAAACTGCCATCCTTACCTGGTCAGGCCTACATGTGACTCCAGACCCACAGCAATGTGGTTGACTCTTAACTGCCCCCTGGGCAATAAATGCTGCCTAGCCAGTGACACCCACATTTCATGAATGAATAAAAGGAAAATAAAGTTAAAAACTGAAAGAACTGCAAATGCTGTAAGTCAGAATGAAAAACAGAAACTGCTGGAAGAGCTCAGCAGGTCTGGCAGCATCTGTGGAAAGAAAGCAGAGTTATCAGCTTTCAGAGAAATCAGAACTGAGGAAGGGTCACTTGACCTGAAACATTAACTCTGATTTCTCCCCACAGATGCTGCCAGGCACGCTGAGCTTTTCCAGCAATTTCTCTTTTTGTTCCATCAAAAAGTGTTTGATTTGGAAGTGAATGGAAAATCTCAGGAATGAAGACTGTAACCCAATGGTTGCTTTTAGCTAGCTATCCATCCTCTCCTACTCTAAGCTCTTATTATCACTCACTTAGCGTTTCTTCAGTCCTGACCTGCTATCTGTAATCTCCTTGTTTACCTACCCCTTTCATGTAAATCTCTGCTTATCTCTCCCCTAACCCATCCCTACCCCCAACTTTGTCTTCAGCATAAATACAACATCTTCCTAACAGTTCTGAAGAAGAGTCACCGGCTTCGAAATACTTCCTTCCTACTTTCCTTCCACAGGTGCTGCCAGACCTGCTGAGTTTCGCCAGCAATTTCCGTTATTGACTAAGATTGAAAGATTTTTGTAGTAGGGTCAATAGATAAGAGATAAGTTCCAGATTAGGTTATGAATTCTTTTTGAATGGCAGACCAGGCTGGAGGGGCTGAATGGCCTCCCCTTGCTCGTATGTTTTCAGCAAAGTAATTTTTAAACAAAATGAGTTGAGCTGCACAACTTGATCAAAAGAATTGCAGAGTGTGTGGTTCTGTTCTGCTTAAACTGTAGTCAGCCTGAATCAGGGCTGTGAATGCACACTGCCAGGTCACCTCTGCATGCCCCACCTCTGATTTGATTCAACTCTGGTGATCAGATGTAAATCAAAAAGAAATTTCAGTCAGAAGGACACAATCTCCCCAGCTAAAATTCAAATCCAACATTTATCCAGCTCCCCCAGTGTCTGAGGAGCTTGGGACGACGCTGTTCAAATTATCAAAAGTTCTGGAACTACTTGAGAAAGATCTGGAGGTATTTAAATTTCAAGCACTACTTTTTTTAAAAGTAACATAAACACAATGGCACACATGTGTGAGAAGTATACAAAGCAAATATTTCCCAGTGCCATCCACAAATGTTTTCCTTCCTTTTAACCTTATGGATAATAAGTTTAAACACCCCATCTGTGTGATGTGAATCTTGGCAATGATTCAGGGGATAGGGCTATACAGCCTTGGACAGGCCATTGGACCCATCGCGTCAGTGCTAGCTCCGTGACGAGTCCCACTTTCTCCAGTTTTCTCCCACAGAGTCCCACAAGATTTTGTCTTGTAAGAAATTGAGTCATGTATAAGCCAGCATTTTCCACATTGTGGAGAACAAGTGAAACTCATAAAGGTACCATAGTCTCATAGGCTGCTGTCTCATTAGAGAGAGACAACTGTTGGTTCTTTAACCTTTTGGCCACCATACCTCAGGCAATGGGAGAGGTTGAGAAGGTATAACCTTCATTCTAACCTCAGCCAGGGTGGGAATTGAACCTATGCATCACAAACCAGTCATCCTACCAATTGAGCTAACCAGTGTTGCCACTCCTGCTTACAAAAAACCGTTTACAAGAATGATCCTAGGGATAAAGGCTTGTCATACGAAGAGCAGTTGAGGACACTAGGTCTGTACTTGATGGAGTGTAGAAGGATGAGGGGGTATCTCACTGAAACTTACAGAATGGTGAGAGACTTGGATAGAGTGAATGTGGAGAAGATGTTTCCACTAGTAGGAGAGACTAGGACCTGAGGGCACAGCCTCAGAGTGAGGGGATGAGCCTTTAGAACTGAGATATGGAGGAATTTCTTCTGCCAAAGCGTGGTGAATCTATGGAACTCATTGTCGCAGAGGGCTGTGGAGGCCAAGTCATTGAATTATATAGGTTCTTGATTGATAAGGGAATCGAGGTTTACAGGGAAAAAGCAGGAGAATGGGGTCGAGAAACATATCAACCATGACTAAATGGTGGAGCAGACTCAACGGGCCGAATGGCCTAATTCTGCTCCTATATCTTATGGTCTTATTATGTAAACTGACCTCAAGCTGGATGAAGGAGGAGGGCTATACTGTCATTTGCATACCTATCATTTGGTTGAGGGATTTGAACGGGTCCCTGATGTTGTGTAAACTACCAGGCCTTAGATACTGAGGATGTTAGCAAGTGCTTAGGGTTAGGCACAGGCAGCTGCCTCTCGGTTGGATGATGGACCAGAGTAGGATGACGAAGACCCAGGGAAGAGGTTCCTACCACTTCAGCAAGAGAATAGGATAATTCCTCAACAACCTACTGAGGTCAAGAGACAGTGAGCCAACTGCACCTGCTCTGGAATATGAGAACCCAGCCCCCCTCACTCTGTCACAGCTCATACCCTGTTCCTATCTAATTATCCTCATGTTTCATTCTGTACTCCTGTATTCCTATACATGAGTACACGTGACAACAAACCTAATCCTAATTCTAATAAACTATCCAAAAATTACTTACAAACCGTCAATGCCTGTTGTAGCTGCTTCAGGCCCTCAATCCCAAAATCTAACACTCTTTAAAATATTGGTCCAATTCCATATCAATAGTTATCATACAATTTGCTTCAAATGCCTTTGAAGGCAGTGTGTTCCAGATATATGTTTCTTTGCCAATTGCTTGACTAACTGTGCAATGATTGCCAACATGACTAAACAGAACTTTGTGCTTTCGGCATGGGGACAATAGGATATCCGAATGAACAGCATGAACAGACTGTTCAGGCTCTCGAGCCAGCTCCACCACTTAATAAGATAAATTATAACTAGAGAAGGTGATGGCCTAGTGGTATTACCGCCGGACTGTTAATTCAGAGACCCAGGTAATGTTCTGGGGACCCGGGTTCAAATCCTGCCATGACAGATATTAGAATTTGAATTCAATAATAATCTAGAATTAAGAGTCTAATGTTGACCATGAAACCATTGTTGGAAAAACCCATCTGGTTCACTAATGTCCTTTAGGGAAGGAAGCTGCCATCCTTACCTAGTCTGGCCTGCATGTGACTCCAGACCCACAACAGTATAGTTGACTATCAACTGTCCCCTGGGCATTTAGGGATGGGCAATAAATGCTGGTCTAGCCAGCGATGCCCACATCCCATGAATGAATGAAAAATAAATATCATGGCTGATCTGTTTGTCAGCTCAAAGTCACATTCTTGCCTACCTGTGATAACCTTTCACCCCCTCACTTATCAAGAATCCACCAAAGTTTCTGCTTCCACTATCTTCTGAGAAAGAGCATTCCAAAGACTCATAACCCTCTGCAAGAAAAAAAAATCTCATCTCTACTTCAAAACACTGACCCTGGTTCTCAACACTCCCTCAACAGGAAACATCCTTTCCACATTCTCCCGGTCAAGTCCCTCCAGAGTCTTATATGTTTCAATTAAGCTGCTGTTTACTCTCGTAAACTCCAGGGGAAACAAGCCCCAGTCTGTCCAATCTTTCCTCATTAGACAATCTGCTCATTCCATGCATCAATCTAGTTTTAAAAAACCCCAAAGAACTGTGGTTACTGGAAATCAGAAACAGAAGCAGAAACTGCTGGAAAAGTTCAGCAGGTCTAGCAGTATCTGCGGAGAGAAATCAGAGTTAACGTTTCATGCCTGCTGACCCTTCTTCAGTTCTGAAACTGCTGGGAAAACTTCAATCTATGTCCCCTGGTCATTGATCTCTCCATCAAGGGGAGAAATTTCTTCCTGTCTACCCTATCATGTCCCTCATCATTTTATCCCTTAGCTCAATCATGTCCCCTCT